CGGAGCGCGCGGCCTGGCTGCCCCGAACTCTGCCGAGGGGGCTCCGACCCGCTGGGGGGCTGCGCTGGGGCTGGTCCCCGCGGGGGGGACGCCAATACAAGGCCACTGACGTCTCGTGGCCGGATGACGGGCCGGATTGGGCTGCCGGCATGGTGCTGGCTGCCTGCGTGCCCCTGGTGCTGGGGCTTGCAACCTGCTGTAGGGGCAGAGGGCTCGTAGCTGGGTGTAACTGTTTCACTGCCATTTTTTCCTAGGGGACTGATGGTATGGGTCTATTATTCTTCTCTTTCAAGGAGACAAAAGGTGTCTTGCTTTACCTCCAAGCCGGATACTTCAGAGAAAAGGATGGTCCTTGCCGTTCTCCCAAGCCACAGGAGAACCAGAGGTAGGGTAGGATGGACAGCGTTTATAGGAGCGGCTGGTAGGCATTATGATATTTGAGAAGCAGCTGCCGTTCATGGGATAGTGTTTGCACGCTGGGACAAATGGAGGTAGGGGGCATAGGATCAATTTGGACACTAGAGAAGCCAAGTGAAATGCTGGGAAGGTGACAAGCAGGTATGGGAAGAGCAACACCTGTAGCTGCAGATGGGCAAAGTTTTCTCTAATGAACCCCAACTCTCTCATATGCTAGGAGCGAGCAGAGGGAAACAAATCAAAAGACAGGACAAACTACTGTTTAATTGCTATGTTTTAAACAGTGGTTTTTGGGAAAACTGACTAGGACTATACTGACCATTGTTACTGTCTTCATGCTTTGCAGGCATAGGGACCTACAATCGAAGTACTATATAGAAGTAAATACTAGCTGTATATGGACACCTTTGCCAAAGTGTTTGAGGAGCAGAGCTAGCTATTTCCTTTTCTGAATATAGAAATAACAAATAACAAATTCAGAAGGTTTTATCTCTCTCTCTCTCTCTCTCTCTCTCTCTAAAATAAATACTGCTTATTTTGGGTTCATCAAGTTATATTCTGTAGTTATTCTTAGGATATGTGAATTCTCTGTGTGGGTAATAATATGATCAAAAGTTTGTCCCCCTCCTGCATTTAGGCAATAAATCCATTGGATAGATGCTGCATTTGCAAGGGGTCTGTATTCAGTAGTTTAAGATAAAAAGTTCTCCTGGACTTTGTCAATGTGCTCTAGGAGGCAAACTCTTCTTCAGATGTGTTTTATGGGGTATCTCCTATGGTTTTGCCGTACGCCAAAATGTATTACTAATAATTAAATATATTTTAGTATCAGAAGTATAGTATAGTTCAGGGGCTAGCTCCAGGCTGCTTATATTGTTTGTATTGCGGGTATAAGCTCTGCTTTCATTAAAAGAAGAAAAACAAATGACTGGAGTTCTTGGTTTGAATGCAACGTGTTGCCAACAGGTGGGCTGAGTAGTGGTATAGTTCTCCTATCCACAGTAGGATGCTTACCATATTAATGGGGTCCTTCCCATTCTCTCACCCTAGAGTTCCTGTTTTGGAGCCTGCGTCATTTCTGAAGAAAATGTGGATCTAAGGCACATATGCTTGACTAAGGTGTCTGGGAGAACATGGTAATGTCAAATGCTCTTTGCAATCCGTTTGTTCTTCCAAAAGTGTGTTTCTGGTATGTCTTAGCCTTCTCATCTCTGAGCAACACAATGAATAAAGAAACAGCTGATCAGTTAGGTATCATGAAGACATATAAGAAGACTGTTTTATAACAGTGAGAGTATTTCCAACTGTATTTCTACAATATAATGTAATTTATGAAATCACAAATCGCTTCTTCACAGATGGTGAAGCAAAGCTTTTCTAATGTTTGAGGGCCTCATTCTATGGGTGTCTGATGCACATGAAAAGAGTGTTTAAATTGGAACATTTCAGTGTGCAGAATTCAGTGTTTGGTCATGAAGGTGACTTCTTATTAGCAGGCCTCACTTTTTTTTTTTTTTTTTCCGGAAGGCATTTAAAATTATCAGTTACGTTATTATCGTAAGCCTTATTACACACAGCAAATTGAGTTCGTGTGAATAACCTTGCATTTACTCACTAATAGACTGAGCTTGAATTTGTAGCCATACTGCAGAATCCAGTCTATGGTGCATATACATATTGTAGATATGTGGAAAGATACTCTCCTAAAACAGTCTCAAATCCATCAGGTATCTGGAGGTATTTCTCAATGCTGGAAGTACTAGACAAATACGAGCAGACCAATATTTCTATAAATAATAGGGAGGAGGGAAATGATTTCATTGATGCCAATGCAAAAAAACTCAACTGAAATTACATTCTGTTTGGATACTTGATGTTCTCATTGGAAGTAATTCAATAATGGACAGAGTACCAATGTCATATCATACAGCAATATATTTTGGCCTGCTCATGCTTGTTTCCCCTGAAATCAGCACAAGTATTACTACCTATTTTAATACTATTAAGAGTGTAACCTTGCTGTGTTATGTTTTTAGGCAAGGTAGTTGTTGGTTTGTGGTGTGTGTGGTGCATGTGTGTGTTTTTGTGACACATGCAGTACTTCCATGTTTTGCTTCAATGTGAGTTAAGACACAGCCTGAAACTCAGGGTATTTAAATTGATAGTGTGTGCTTTTGGGAACTAACTTTTCTCCTTCTTACAAATGAATGAAATTGGCTAGATTAAATCAATTTAAATGGAGTGAGACAGTGAAATGGCGTGCTACTCTTTCTATCTGAAAATCTCTGTGCTATGTAGATGGATGGCACCAGGCCAGTCTTTAATGGATATATCTGTCTGTATTACAGAAGAACCTCCTGCAGTCTGGACTTCTGCTTCAGGGAGGTTCAGGATTTGGAAGGTACATTGTTGTACCCTGGATGAAAACATGCCAGTAGAGCTGTGCGTAGTATGTATTTATTTATAGTATGTATTTATAGTCTGCACAGGAATTTATTGCATCTCATAATAATCAGATGGACATCTATGTTTGCAGTGACTACTTGCATGAAATAAAGAATGAGATGTTAGAGGCTCATCATGATCTCTGCTTTGGGGGAGGGCTAAAGAGACTTTAAATAATCTTCATACCCTTTTGATTCTGGGCTTTATGGTAGAAAGCGAGTGTTCTGTGTATCGGTTACCAAACAGCCTGCGCTAGGATTGAAGTCCTAACTACAGTTCTCCTAAGTTTAATCATCTTTCTGTCATGAATTTTGTTTATGCTATAAGCTTCAGGCAACGCCTCCCTCCTTGGTGCTTCACTAGTAGCACCGTGTAGTCAGCTCACATCTTGCAGACGTTTCCTGGTCTTAACATCCTTCTCCACGTCTGCACATCTATTCTTTGTGCAGAGATATTCGTGTGTTTTCTGATGGGTTACAAATATCCTAATCATTAGTCTATTGTCTAATTGCTTACCAGCCACACCCACAAGTTCCTCTTTACTCCATCACTCATTCCTACTGTTGAAGACAGAATATTGGGCTAGATATTTTTGCCTAACAGGGTATTTCTTATCTTCATACTTCAGTTATGCTGTCTTTACAGCATTGTTTTAGCTTTACATAATGGGTCCTAAAGGATACCACAAGGAGGTCAGAAGTACATATTATCAGTGAAATGGGACCTTTATTGTTCAAACATGTCATGTCTTCCTCAAATTTCTGTTCTACTGGGGGTCTTCTTATCCAAGCTTTCCTCTATAAATAAATATATGAATGTTCTGTCATGTGGTGTCTGCAAATGTTCATATAACATAAATTACTGAAACCAGATAAAATACTCTCAAATATGATCTGTTGGCACTTAGCCATTTTCCATGAAGTATGCAGGTTAACATGCCCACAGGTTTACTTGTTCCTCTGGTACTGGAAGCTGAAACAAAGTGATTAAGGATGAACTTCCAGGTTTATGCTATACTGCAACTGCAATCACTGAAAGAGCCTTAATGTGGTGTAAGTAGAAATAAAACTGGAATTTGCTCCAAAATAATAGGAAAAAAAAATTGAGCACTCCAGCTGCTATAGGTTGGCTCCCTCAATCACTTGCCTCTGTACCTGCAGAGACAGAAGTCTAGCAACCAGACTCTGCACGTATTTCAGGGGAGAATATATATGCTTTGTCTTGACCCTGTTAAGAGATTCCTGAGTAATTTTAAGATCAGCTCCAGCTGTATGTATTTGCTTGATTTCCTTGTTACTTGTATCTTTGGATTTAGGGCTGTAATCTGTTAATCCCCAAAATATCACCAGATAATCTGTTTAATCATAAGCAAATACTTATCTTGGTAGTCAATAGAATATAAGTTATGCAAAATAATTCAGGCTTACTGCTAGGCAAGTTTAGAATCTGTCAACACAGCTCTTTTACTGTTAGTCCACAATTAAGAGTAAGTTTTCGTCTGAGTTTCAGTTCAGGTATTTTTGTTCTGAGGCATAATTGAAATCTTTCATGGTGTTTGATATGGAATTTTGACCTTGTAAAAAGTCTTAATTCTGAAGCAATTGTCTAAAATATTTATAATGTGAAGTATTTGGTAGTGGCTTCATAATTGATATCGAATTGTTAATGATAGCACAATTATCTAGAAAGACCCAAATCTTAGTGTCATAAAACTCTCTAGTGTTCAGTATCCATAGAGCTACAGGACAAAAGTCCAGGCATGTTCTTTAATAGTTAATATGTAGTAATTAATATGACATAGTTCTTATAGGCAGGAAAATGGCCAGAAACTCCTGTGAGTTTATTTTACGGCTTGTTAATAGGAAACTATTCTCAGCAGCAGAGGGCAACGATGACCTGGTTTTATCTACGTTGCGTACTTCTGTCCGACATTAAGCAACGAAGTTCAAAGAAATCTCATCTTTCTTGGGGGGCGGGGGGAAGAATAACCCTGTGAATCCTTCATAAATGAGCTGGTATATCAAATAGTAATGTTACCTCTGGGCTCAACTGCTGCATGTTACTTGGCTTATAAAAGGTTTAGGTGTTACACATGACAGCCCCGTTACCTTAGCGCTTCACTGTCTCTCTTGGTTCTCAAAGGATATTTTTCAGCTACAGGACTGGTTTGAGTTTACTAAGAGACTGACTCATCCCTGAGGCCATCACATCCCACACGATATTTACGTCTTTGGGACAATTAAACCCTAATGTATTTTGGGAGAGGCTTCTTCCCAAGAAGGGCCTGTCTTTGAACACTCTTAACTAAATTCTTGCACGCTTCTGGAAGAGATGCAATTACTACATACATCACCATTACACTTTTTTTTACCTATAAGTGAGGACAGAGGGAGTCATCTTACTAATTCTAGTTAGAATGTCATGCTCAAAAACTGTACTCTGAGCCAAACTGCTTTTTTAGAACAAGCATGTACAATTGTACTCCTTTGCTCTGTACTTCTGAGTCAGTAGCCCTGTAGGAAAGAGTATCTGCAGTAGGGTGAGGCCTTTAATGAACTGAGCTAGAGCCCCTACCAGCAAAAGAAGATGAAATCTGATCTAGACCCACGGCCATTCAGAAATGTTTCTGTTGCTCATCTCTGTTCATTTGCCTCAGGGTGCTTTGGACTAGTTTGGCATTGAGTCTTCACATTGTGAAATGCTGAAGTGAGCAGATCTGTCTTTGCAATATGCCTAATATAATGGAGCCTGTTCCTGATTAGATCTTTGAGTGGTACTGTAATATACTTTCTTTGATTCCTGCCTGGCAGCTCGTGTGTCCGAATTAAGTATTTCCATATATTTAGTTGTTTTGATTTTATGTTCAGAAGCTGTTATCCCCAATCTCTAGGTATCCTGGCAATTCTCAGGTGGTGTCATATCAAGCTCTTATTCTCACTTGGTGTGCTTGACTGCTGAAATCAGAAATGGGCAGTTCAGATAGATTCTATGCTTAGTTAACATATATGTTATGTTTCTAATCTTTACACTTGAAATATTTAAGGACAGTATTTTCTTATCATTGTAAAGGTGATTTTTTTTCCCCCCTTTTTAATGGGAATTTTTTAACCATATCTGAATAATTGAAATATAGGAAGGCCAGCTATTGTTAAGCATTGTTATGGCTTAACAGGGGAAAAACAATGAGTATCAATATATTTAAGTTTACTTGGGTTTCTACGCAGCTGGAGTATATATCTCTGTTTCTGCCTTGTTTGTTTTGATGTTTATTATAGAACTTTTGTTTTCGGTATTTTGTCTGAGCTTTCCAGCAGCAATAACCAGGGAACAGAAAACTAATTGTTATATACAGCATTACATGTACACTGTACAGAGGAATTTTGTGCTCAGAAATAAAAATCTTGTAATGGCACTGCTCAGTTTCTAGGAGCTGTTGAACAATTCCCCCTAGTGCTAGATCTTAGCCTGCAGAGGGCAGCCTGACCTAGCATTTTACTTGAGCAGCGTGCTGAGCAGGAGAGTTCAGTACTGTGCTGGCATCTCTAGCTATTACTGTGGCTTTGTCGAGAATAAACAACAGAATATTGTGGGGAATTAGCATCAGTCCTAAACTGAAATGGAATCAAAAGTGGACGGTCCCCCGCCCCTAAAAACTCTTGACTAAACCTTTTGGTATTTTTTTCTTTAAAAGCGCATTGAAAGAACAAAATTGAAAACTCAGCTGAGCCTGAACTTTAAGTACCTCAAATAGACAACATGTAGGTTTCTTTGTAGATATCAGTAGCTAAGAGAAAAGGAAATATCTGTGGATTGCATGTATTGGACAAGACTAACAGGAGAAGAGAATTGTTTTTCCCTTACTCCAAATCTCTTCAGGAGTCTTTTGAGATCCATTTAAGCTACTGTTAACAGGACTGTTAGAGTGTGCCTTTGGCTGAATGGGCTGTGTCCTTTGCCTGGTCTGTCCTGAGTCCTTGCGGAACAAACATCGCAATTTCAAGGGGATTTTGTTGGACAGCGTGTGCTCTGCACAGATCTGTGCCTTATCTCTCAAACTGATCAGTGCCAGGTGGCATACTAGGGGCTGCTATCCTGACATAGTATGACGAGGCACAAGGCATTCAGTTCTTGAAAAGGAGCCAGCACTTTGTGTGTCTCAAATCAAATTGCATCCAGCAGCTGATTAAGGAATAATCTTGATGTGCTCTGAAGGAAGTCCTGTCTACTTCTATATTTTTCAGCCAGAGGGCCCTGCAGTGTAGTCTTCAGTGTAGAAAGTAAGTATAAAGAAAAAGAGCATCTGAGGAATTAAGGCAGCGCTGGTAAGGTCTGAATTCCAGAGGTACAGGAAGAAACCTATCTGTGAAGTGTCTGTTATGATCAGATATGAAATTACTCACTGATACACTTTTACATTGATTTAGATAATTAATTTCTTTGGGTCTGAACTTTCTACCCCACATATGCATGGCTGTGCACAGCTAGAGTTTGGTTTGCTTCATTTTAACTATTGATGAATTTTTGCTTCTGATTCCTAAAGCCTTCTCCATGTATAAGAGTGCTGAGAGATTTTGATTCTGGTTTATTCATAATATTTTATGCAATTCTTGCTATATTTTCATAAACATCCTTTGTAATGTGAACTTTGACCAACGAAATGTCTGTCACAGTTTACACTGATAATATGATGTAAAAGATACACTATGTAAAAATGCTATCGCGTTTAACCTACGTGTCATAGAGAACTATTTATTGTACACTTATTAAAATGCTGTCTTGTTTTAGAAATGTAAAGGTGTGCAGAGGAAAAGAGAAATAATTACTTGGGCTTATATCCTTTTTGCTTTATGATCTTTAGAGAAGGCTTAGAATAATGCTCTTTGTGTCTAAAAACAAAATCAAAAGCCAGAACGCACAGACACACGCGCACACAGCCTTTCTTGGTTGTGTTGGGTTTCGTTTGGCTTCTGAGACTCTGAAGAACACTTACTTCCCGATTCCCTTATCTTTCCTAAAACATTTATGCCTAGAAACAGCTTTAGAAGTGAAGTCAAAATTCTCCTGGGGTCTTTTGGTTTCAACAGTTGCAACTTTTGGAAAAAGATCTCCTATTGCAAAACACCTGATTAAATCTTAAGACTTACTAATACTGTAGGTTTTGTTCCTTTTTCAGTATGACTGCTGTGGGTCTGTTTTTCTTAAGAAATGAGCTAGAGGAATTACAGTGGAATATATGATTAAAAACTTTTTCAAAAACCCTGTAGTTTCTCATATTCTTTAGCATCCCAGGATTGGTTCAGTGAAGTAGCTTATTCAGGCCATCCTCGCATTTTTCTTTGCCCACAGAAATATTATAGTTTATAAGGATTTTTCCTTTGTTCCAGCCAACCCCCCGATTTCTGTCATGATGATTTGATTCCCAAGAGGGACACATGTTGTGCAAGGACAGCTATATGCTGACTGAACAGTTATCTGCACTAAAGAAAGGTGTATTGTTGATTTCTCCCTGCCTTTTCCTCAGCAAGTGCACTAAGTCATTCTCTCCTGGTTTTAATGAAAAAGTGATTTCCATGCAACTGATGTGATCTAAATTGTGTTTAAAATTATTATCCTACTCTCATATTTGACAAACTGGTTTAAAAGTGATGAGGGACAGACAGTGAAATTTATAAACCTCATTTTCCTAGGAATCCATGCTAAAAAAAAAAAAAATCTTTTCTTCTTTTTTTGGAGAAGTGGGGTGAGAGTGGGCAGAAGGGCAAGAACGGCAGGGACTGGTATCAGCAAATCATTGGAAAGCCAAAGCACAAAACTTGAGGTGATGTACTACACATACGGCATATGAGAAAGATGGTACACTGTCTGGCATTAGCTATATGTGTTTTGGTCCAAAACTTATTGGAAAAACAAAAGGAGAGGATCTCACCTGTGTTACTGGGCAGATCATGACTGGCACAATGTATTGCCTGTAAGACTTCCAGTACAAATGATTAATGTTTTCACATTTCAAACCTACCGAGTCCAGCCATTGTCGGATCAGCTGGACTTTATCATTCTTTTATGAATTTTCTCTTTGTCTAAACGAAATTTACTTAATGAATGGAAAATTAAATCTTCTTTTATGTTAGTGACTAAGTGTCAGCCAGGTACGTTGGGCGGAGAATACAGTCCAATACACAGGGTACTTCACTAGGAAGATGAAGGTTCTATTCTTTGCTCTGAAATAAATTTTCCATGTGACCTTAGACAACATACTTAGCTCTTTAAGGGTATTTAGGCATCTGAAAATACCAACAGGGGATTTTGAAACACCTATTGGTAGGTAAAATACTTTAATCTGTTTAGGCATCTCTTGCAAAATCCTTAGGTGCCTGTCTGCATCTCTCAAAGCCCAAATACCTTTAAAAAATGTTGGCCTTGGTGGAGCTTTTCCCACTACCTCATTTGAGTTAGAAGCCAGGGCTGTCTTTATAGACAAGAGGAAAGTGTAGGGGGTAGGCTCCTGTTCCTCAGTTGACTAATTCAGAAGCCTCAGGTAGATGCCTGCAATAAAACAGTGTCAATCACCTGTCCTTAATGGACTTCTAAGGCAGTCAGGAGAGGGCTTAGTCAATTGAACAGTTCAACTGGTTGCTCCTGCTCAAAAGAACCATTTCTTTTCCCTCTAATGGTCACCTGTCTCTCCTCACCCCTTCCTGGCTGGGCAGTTCTGCACTCCCCTTTTGGCAGCTCCAGTGTTTGGTTCTAGCATTTGGTTTCTTTGTCTATCCTTTAGTCTCCTTAGCTGGCAGAAAACTAACCCAGCAAAAAGAAAGTGAGCAGTTCTTTGCTGATTAATGAGCTAAAGCGGTTCATTCAGGGTCAGACGGGTGGTGATGCCAGTGCAGTGAAGGGAGCAGGAGCACATGGCTTGGAGTAGAAGAAAAGGGAGTGTCTAGGAGAGCATGAGAACAACACTTTCAGGAGCAGCAGCAAACTGTTGGATTTGGTTGTCCATCTTGTCTTGTAACATTTCATATCTAAGTGTGCAACTTCTTCATCCCTAAAAAAGGGGTAATGGTATTTACCTTTCTCTCAGTACCTCCCTTTTCCACCTTCTGCCTTCTCTTCAGTTCCTTTTCACATTCCTTAAGTGTTGGCAGGATATGAGACAGCAAGTGCTGAAGCTAATTCAGCTACACGTGTGCTGCTTGCCTGACTGGTACTTGTGGCTAATGAAGACACGGCCTCCAGAACTGGCAACTGCTGAGTACCCACTGCAGCTTTTCTCCTTAGTTTTAATTTCTCTTCTTAGGTACTAATTTATATAAAACTTGTAGGGATGTAATGTTTCGGTTCTGTCTTTTAGTTGAATTTGATTGAAATTCTCCAACTGCAAATCCTAAAATGGTTGGAGGGGACTTGGTGGACAGACTGAAAAATATTACTATCAGCCTCAATTCCTTAGGAAGGCAGGCTAAAAAGCTCCTTTTAGTAAATGGGTGCATTTTAGCGTTTCCTGATCAACATCTCTCTTGAATTTCTCTGCCTTAGAGACTTTACATAGTGAATGGAATAAATTCTTTGTTGTACTAAACAAAACCAAGTTACAAATGCCTTTTCCCTTCCTACTTCCTAGCAGTATGAAGAACGGAAGTTCTTAATTAAAAGGCTACCTTCTGTGTGTTCCTGAACTTTCTTTTTAATGCCATCTATTAAATATCACACAGGAGAACCCTTGATAATGCTAGTCAGGAGGACTGACTAGCACTGAAGGAAGTGCACAGGAAATTACTCAATTAAAAATACAAAATGCCATCACTACATTGAATGAGGAAAACCTTGGCTCTTTTGGTACAAGAAGGAAAATTTGAGTTGTTTGCAAGTGGAAAGCTTTACTCATTTCAGAAAACAAGACACGGAAAGGAGCAGTTTTTCAAATGGATGTCAGATCAGTAATTGGGGATAATGCCCACAGGAGCTGGGAGAGAAAATAAATATTTGGGTTTTTTTTCATTCCCGCTGCATAATTCGGAAACATTTGCCATGAGCAAGACAATAGAATGACATAATGAGCGTGATTGAACTGAAGTGTGGACGACAGTGGGGGAACGCATGGGCAACAGAGCTGGATCTGACTACAAGTCATTGCTGCATGCGAGCATGAACACAATATCACAGGAACAGATATGCTAATTCATTTTATGTACATATGTTTCCTGTTGAGGATGAACGTATGTGTTATCCGTTGTGCTGCTACTTCCATGTTTTCTTACACATATGCACTCCCTACTCAGTTAACATGATGTGGAAGGTGACCAGCATAAAAGCAGTGCCAGAGAGTTAGTCTCAGTTAAAGCAGAGATATTAGCTAGGCTGCGCTTCCGGACTGCATTGGGAACGTGTATGATGTTCATATCTGTTACTAGCATCCGTGTCTGTGGACACAGTGCTATGCAATCTCTATTACCTCCCTCAGATACCAAGATTTTGGAAATTGCTTTTTCAATATCAAGAATCCTAAAGGATGTTTCTAAGAAGAAGATGCATTGTGTATGGTACAGCAGAGCGGAGCGGGTGATTCAGTCTCTCCTGTCATTTAGTTTGTCTGCTGGCTCCTCAGTGACCATAGATTGTGCTTTCTAGCTCTTAGTTCATAGGTGCCCTTTCTGAAATTGATGAGCCTGCTCTAAGATTTTAATATCACTGTACTGATGCGGTCTTCTAACCTGTAATTCTTGATAAACTGGATTGTTGTTTTGCTTAACTCTTGCCAGCATCTAATAAGCTGATGGCATAGGGTTTTTCTTTTAGTGTGCCTTGGAACTATTTGGCCCCATTAGGCTGGAGGCTAGAGCTACAGTGGAGGGGGGGGGGTGTCCACTGGACACTGACCTGGTTCTTCAGTGCTGTGCAGTTGGTTGCTTGCTGCTCTTATTAAAGTGCCAGGAGGAAACTGAGTGCTCTTCTGTATGCTAATGACAAGACTGTTTTGCAGCCAAAATTGCGATCATTTCTATGTTTATGTACTATTTACATACAGATACGCAGATGTATAGTTACGATGCTCTGTTGTTGTTCAGTTGGTGAATTTCATACTGAGCCACAGACTTCGTTGTCAGGTAATAAACTAAGTTAGTTGAATTACTGTCGAATGGTACTGTCAGTGCCTTCAGAAGAAGATTAATCGTTTAGCCAACAGTTGAAGGAGCAGAAGCTCTAACGCTGCTTTCTCTAGCAGTGCAAGGTCTTCCATTGCTTTCACTGACCACGTGAATCTTCCCAAGAGCATCGCCATGCAACGAGGCACACACATTGCACAAAGTGTGGGAAATTTCCCTATATCAGAAGTGAACATCGCCTTATTTATTCCCCCGTTTTCCCTCTTCCCCCCC